GACAGCTTTACGACGAGCCTGTCCTGCTCAGACGCTCTGGGATGACAGTCATGAGACAGAGAATATAGCAGGCGTCTCACCTGACACACAGGGTGGGAGGGAGGGAGAGACACAGAGTACTTGAGTGTGTCCCAGCATACAGTACACTGCATAGGGTGGAAGGGAAAGAAACACATGAACAAGTCATGGGACAAATACACAGAGACAATCAGCTGCTAACTGACCTCCACACCTTTGGCTTCCAATTCCAATTCCATCAATAGATGCATGTGTTATCGTGCGAACACTACTCAATAGTACAATACATAATTTCTGCCACTAGACGGTCTTTCTTCAACGCTGTTTATTGGACAAAGGATGTCCTGGAGGGGAATGTCCGAACTTTAGTGGCATTATCCACATTTTTACATTTCATGTCATTTTCATTCAAGTGCTACCAACAATGACTTCCCAGATTGTTCTGTGTAACAAACCATCTCTCAACATGGTCAACAACATGTCACTCAAACATTCTCTGACCTTCAGAGATTCCAAAAAGAATCCATAACACTCAGCAACTTCACCTTCTCCTATAGGTCAACAGTAATAGTGACAGTGCAGAAGCTGCTTCAGTGTGGGTTACATGGTGGGTTGTTGGAAATGCAGTTTGACTTCTAGTTAGAGTTAAATAAATTTTATATAATCCACTTTGACAGCACGATAAGCTTCTCTGGATAAAGACATTCATAAACATACAATTTCTCTTCTTTTCAGAACTGGTCATTCACCACCTAACCCCCTTATCTAAATGTAATCCTGAACCCAATCATAAAACTGTATCCCACTTTCAAATCTAACAGTTAACTTTAATTTCTGTTCTAAACCAAGTATCTCCAAACCCATGTAAACTAATCTCTTGAAGAACTGAGGACTGGCAGAAGACAAGGCCGTAAAACTTGAACTGGCTCTCACTGTGGTACTGAATGAGATCACTAACATACACACATAGCAACTTCCTAACCCCTCCTCTAAATTTTCTGTTTTAACGTCCTGATGGCCTTCGGAGAAGTGCCAGCAGAAAAGTGGCCTATAAATCTTCAATATAAAGTTTGACTACCTATGCAGGGTCTTTGACACCATTTGAGGTGAAGTATTTTGATGGTCATCGTTTTAGTGTGTGCATGTGTTTCATAAATATGTTCTAGTTGTGATAGACTCTTAAAATAGTTGTTCTAGACTGACACAGCACAACACCTGTCCCTATAAAGTACAGCCAGTGTAGCAGCTACAGAGTGAGTGAAGTCAACAATTGAAAAAAAATAATGTTTGTGAAGTAAAGGGTTTGGCAGGTACACTGGCAGAAGGGTTTAAAGCAGGGGTCTCAAACTCAGATTGGCTTGGGGCCACTGGTGATACTACAAGAAAGCCCAATATTCTGAATATATTTCGATTACTAACATCATACTTTACAAAGAAATGCAAACAGCCGTTCCTATATTTCATCATCATTCATCATTTTATAACAAATTAGGGCCCCACTTTTTTGTTCTCAGCCATTTGCATGCATATACAACTTTGACCTTTGCCATAATTTTCTGCTGAACAAAATGCAATTTTTATAAATAGAAATGTTTTTATATTTACATGAAATAGCAAAAAATAAATATAAAATAAAATATATTTTTGACATCACAAAAGGGAGATGGAGGGCTGAAAATGGCCCCCCGGCAGACAGTTTGGGCTCACTGGTTTAGACCAATGAAGTTGTCATTAAAAAATTACGAATTTAAATCATTTGGTAGCCAATAAAGTTTGGCTAATGTGTCTCTCCCTAATATAAACTGTCTCACAATGTTATACCATATACAATAGCACTGTCACTTTGTGTGTTTCCACACATTACTTCTCAGATGATGATTGTTTGCTAATTTCTTTCATTTTTGTTGATTATTGAATCTCATTCCCAGGTCGACCCTTTGGGTTATGGTAAATGGGCTCAGAGCAAGCAACCAAAACAGCAGGTGGTGTTCCTGTACCCAGGTTGTCAAATACTGACGCTATGAGACTCAATCAACTATCTTTCTCCAGAATGACTGACAAAAGTAGCCTGGTTCACTAATGCAGTATTCCCCGCACTAGAGGACAACGAATGGTCTGTTACACTATGATCTACAGAGGGAGCGGGTCCTCTTCCCCATTGGCGATTAATGAAGTATATCCTCTTCTTCTATGGAGGACGCCATGTTGACCTGTCATGTATCTACTATAGCCCAGAACGGACAAACCCAACACTGGCTGTAGATAGGGGCCTTTGCGAGTTTCACAGCTCGGGAGAGAGGGTGAAGTGAGGGAGTTACAATCTGCAACTACACCATTCAGCATTTTATTTGACTCCCACTCTTAGCTGCCTATTGTATTGTATATAAAATACATAAAGTAGAGTTATTAAAGTATGAGAACAAGTATGAGGACGATCTCATGTGCCATCTGGATCATATTAAGTCCATTCATCACACTCATTTAATTTCAGTATATCCAGCTGACTCCCATCGGTACAGGATGATCATAAATCATGGTATACTAGCCTCCCACTTTAGCCCACAGACTTCCTACATTGCTCTTCTTGGCCTCCCTCATAGTCCTCCATTGCTACGTATATCCACCCTTCCTTTCTCCCTTTTCTTCATCCTGCATCTCGTCCCTTGCTTTCAGACACATACATGACTGGTATAGGGTCTTTCCTGGCAGTATGTTGATCCAGTATCCACCATCCAAGCCAACACTTGATCTAGATGATCTAATTAAGTCATTCATATGACTCAGCACAGGAATGTTGTCTGGGTGTAGACACAAGTATCAAGTTGAGTGGGAACACGAGGGCTTATCCACAGCATGTGGTCCATCCTGAACATGTAGATATGTCCAAGTATTCGCAGTGTCAGTGGTCAGATTTATAACACCTTCGAGTCAAAATTGGACTAAAGTACTCCACTACCCCAGTGTACTTTTTAGTAATAGAACAGGAAAATGTAAGAACTCAATCAAATTTGATTCAGCATGAATAAGAGCTCTCTCTCTCTCTCTCT